TAAATAAATAAATAAATAAATAAATAAAAGCTTCCATGTGGCAAGAGGGAACAGACTTATTTATGGTTCCCAGCAGGTAAAATTTCAATGTCCTAAAAGTGTAGAGGCTGTCTAGTTTTTGCTCAATATAAAAAATTATAAATATTTTACCACAATTTTTTTTAATGGCTTGGTTTGTTGGACACAAAAAGGTTGCTGGTTTGAGTCCCGGTCAGGGCATGTACGGAAGGCAACCCATCGATGCTTCTTTCTCATGGATGTTTATCTTCCTCCCTTCCTCTTTCTCAAAAAAAAAAAAATCAATAAAACATCCTTGGGTGAGCATCTTAAAAAAAAAAGTTAACAGAATATACCAGAAATCATGGAATTACACACTTTTAAATAGGTGACTTTTATGGTATGTGAATTATATCTCAATAAATCTGTTTTAAAAAATAAATCTTTATCTCCCCACTACATTGTGAACAAATGAAGCTAGGAAGTGTATCCTTTCATCTTTATTCAGTGAATAACAGAGGGCCTGATATATGGTGCCCAGCTAGCTGCTCTTCATCAGAGCTTCACTGATGACTGCACATTCTTGCTAAGTGATCTTTTGCCATAACAGTTTCTTCCTGACTCTGGTAGCTATGTTTACTTTCTTTCCTTACTCAGGTGGGTGCCAGGCTTCAAAAGATAATTTTTTATGGGAACTGAAATTATTTCTATCTCCTTTCTTGATTGAATAAACATTTCCCTTTGGTTATGAAATTGTCGCTTCCTAAAAGTATCTAGTACATAATAATGGTCATGATTCTTCCTTCCTATTTCTTTTAATGTCTACAAAACCCTTTCTTATTTAGTTTTACCTCTTCAGAGATAGATTAAATATTGTCATGTAGAGAAAGTTAAAATGAAGGTTGATTTTCTCTTGCTATGCAAAATAATTGTTAATTTATCTTCTTACATAATTTTTGGTAACATGAACATTTTATTCACTCTCTTGATTGCAAATTATAGAATGCAAACTTGAACTAGTTGGAGTAAAATGGTGAATTTCTTACAGGGACACTGCTACAGTGTCTCACAGCCACTCAAGGAATGTCAACAGTGGTTAGGATGATTTTGGCTGCAAATGAGATAAATCTAAAATCAAACTGGGTTAAACTGCAAGGAAAAAATTGTCAGGTCACATGATTATGGGTGATCAAGTGAATAGCAACCCCCAAAGACTTACTGTACTTCATTTTCACATGAAACATGGCCATTTCAGTTCTGACTAGAGAAGAACTATGGTCAAGACATTCAAAGCTGTGCCTGCTTACTCCTAATGAAGAGGATCCTGGGCCTCATCTCTTTATAAGAAGGGGTGTTTTCTAGAAGTTAAAATTTCCCCTCCTTAGTTGATTAATATATTTCCAAGTATATCAAAAGGACTTGGAATTGGTTTTAAAAATTTCAAGCTTAGGAAACCCTTTGAAAAGCAGATTTTAAGACAGGATTAGATTTGCAGGAGATTTACTGAGGGAAATGCCTGTGAAGAATAAACAGAGGTAGCAGAAGTAGGCAAGGAGACCCTTTAGATACTGATGCAGGTCTGACACCTGTGAAAGGAGTGGAGTGGGGAAGGAATATCCATCAAGAAGAGTCTCAACTCAGCACAGCTCTGAGAAAATTTCAGGCAAGCTAATGGGGAGTCCCTGAGTCAAAATTACCCATAAGAGGGGTCCTGCATCCCACAGAAATTATCCAGCATTCATGTGGAAATGTGACTCTGAATAACCAAAACTGTCTTGAAAAAAAAAAAAAGTTGGAGGACTCACTCTTCCCAATTTCAAAACTCATCACAAAGCTACAGTTCAATGGGGGAAAGAATAGCCTTCTTAAAAAAATGGTTCAGGAACAGATGGATACCCATACCAAAGAATGAAATTGGACCTCTGCCTCATACCATATATATAAAAATGTACTCAAAATGGATTACAGTGCAGAATGTAAGAGCTAAAACTATATACATCACTGTAAATATGTTATGATCTTGGGTTAGAGAAAGGTTACTTAGATATGACACAAAGTACAAGGGAAAAAAAGAAAATTGGACTGCATCAAAATTTTAAACATTTCAGTTTTGTTGCAAAATATATCATCAAGGAAGTGAAGAGACAACCCACAGAATGAGAGAAAATATCTGCAAATCCTAACTCTGACAGGGACTTGTATCCAGGTGCATAAATAACTTTTGAAATTCAATAATAAAATGACAAATAGGCCAATTAAAAATGGGCAAAGGGTATTAATAGACATTTCTCCAAAGAAGATATGCCAATAACTAATAATCATATGAAAAAAATGCTCATCATCAACTGTCCAAAAAATGCTAATTAAAACCACAATGACATACCACTTCACACCCATAGGAATAGCTAGAATAAAAATGACAGATAATGGTGGACCCCAAGGGTTAGCAACTAGGGCTATCAGTCTATCATGCCCACTGCAGACTATCTTTAAGATCTGAACAGCACATTTCCATGGCGCCCACAGGAACCATGAACAATCACATCAGATTTGCACAAAATGATTTTCAGTGAAAACATTGTCCTATTATAATGAATCCTTTTGTCCTGTATTTACTCATTTAATGAAGATTAATTAACTCTGTGTGTCTTGTTATTATTTAGGCCCTATGCTGGGTTCTGAGGGGGGCAGGGGGAGAGGGGGGAGGGACTGATCTGGTGGTCTCAACTCCTTACAATTTTTTCTCCTCCCTTTCAGTTTTTTCTAAACAGTTCACGTTTAAATGAAAATAGCCCAACTGGTGTGTGTTGGTAGTTGATCGTGGACCCATGAACCAGGAGGTCATGGTTGGAATCCTGGTCAGAGCACATGTCCAGATTTTGGGCCCCATCCCTAGTAGGGGGCATGCAGGAGGCAGTAGATTGATAATTCTCTCTCATCAATGATGTTTCTGTCTCCCTCTCCCTTCCTCTCTCTGAAATCAATTAAAAAAACATTAAATGAGAATAACTTTTTACATTTTTATATTGTGTTTCATGTACATTAGGTTATCTGATCCTCACTGGAGAATTAATGATAATTACCATTATTAACCAAGGATAAGCTAACAGAATTTAAATTTGTCCAAGACCAAAAAGCCAATAAAAAACAATTACCTACTTCCAAATGCTATCTATGTGCTGTTGTTTTTGCTCCCTTGCAGGTTCCCCTCACACACACACACCCCTACACACACCCCTACACACACACACACACACACACACACACACACACACACACACACACACACACACACACACACACACACACACACACACACACACACACACACACACACACACACACACACACACACACACACACACACACACACACACACACACACACACACACACACACACACACACACACACACACACACACACACACACACACACACACACACACACACACACACACACACACACCATACCCATACTGTGGCAAAGCTGGCCATCAGCAACTACAGACTTCAATCCCTTCAGTTTCAACCCCAATGAAGAGACAATATCTAATTCATGATAGCATTGGCAAGTCAATTCTGATTGGACCGGCCTCGGTCACATGCTCACTGCTGAGCCAAGCACTGTAGCTGGAGGGGTTCTGTGCTCTCACAGGTGGGTGACACACATGAGGATTAGGTGAGGACTGGGTCACAGGTCCACCAAGGAGGAGGAGTCAGGCCGCCAACAGGAAGTACATGATCTGAGCTCCAAAAAGCACGATTACACAGAGAAAAAGGCATCATCTGTGACTGTTAGCAGAAGGGATCCTGGGCAGAGGAAAACAGATGCTCACTACCATGGGAGAGGGCTTATGACGGGGTGGCTTTGCACAAAGTATGCCCAGTGCAAGGTGCTAGGTGTGGCCAGAAGCCAAAGTCTACGAGAATGGACAACTTTCCCCCTGCAGCTGCTTTGTTTTGGCGTTGAGACAACGACATTCAGTTGGCTACAGCCTGGCAGTGATGAAGTCATGTTGCAAGATTCAGAGGATACAGAGATGTGTGGAGGCTACCCATAAATCTTCATTCTCCAGAGCACACTTGCCCCTGTTGCATATAGGAGGCACACCAGGCTGTTAGGTAGGGCTGTTCCCTGTGATGTGATGGCAGTAAAGGCTCACTTGTCTAAATTTGATCAAAGGATGAGGGGCCTCCCTGAGTTCACCCGGGGCCATCCCTGCCTTAAGGCAGAGGCATACCCCAACTACCTCCCATGGATGATAGGCTTCCTCTTTTTACCATATGCAGAGGGAAGGGTCAGCCTTCCCTCACAGGAGGATAACATCTCTTGCTACTGAAAAGAGTTTATCACACTTCCCAACTTCCAGCCCACCTCCTTTTTCCATTTCTAAAGAAGAGACAGCTGCTTGCCTTTTCCCCTGCCATCACCCTTTTAGGTATTGGGAACCTTATTAAAGTGTCCTTCATGCTTTTGCTCAACAATACATTGGATAAGCATGAATTGGGCATTAATTATGAGCCAAGTGACCTGATGGTTGCTGTGGTAACAGATGGATAAAATAACGACACTACCCCAAGGAGCTCTCAATCTATTAGAAAAGAGACATCTAGATAAATGATTATTATACACAGTAATGTTACAGAACTGTCCCTACATAGGGTAAGTTAGGGCTCAGAGGAGGCATGGTGATGCCAGGGAGTCAGGAGGAGCACAGGGAGAGCTTCAGAGCAGATGATGTTTGAGCGGAGTAATTCATTGCATACATTTATACATTTAAAAACCCAAAAAAATTCATGTAGAAAAATTCAGAAAATACAGAATAAGAAGAAAATACCACAATATATTGGTATGTCTCAGTTTTCTAAGCTGTGCATTACAAATTGTTTTGTAACCTGCTTTTTCACTTGAAAAATATAACCATTTCAATTATAAGTTTCTATACTAGTTTCAGTAGCAACATAATTTTCTACTGAATGTTTTTCAGGGTCTTTGAGAAAGATCAATAAGTCGCACCCATCTTTTCCACACAAATCAATAGAGAGATAAGATAGCAGGTGGAGAACCAAAATATCACCCTTATTTCTAATTAAGGCCAAATTGGAAGATGTGGCTCAACATGAGAATTAAATTTGGCTTTCTGACTCTGTCCTTCTGTTCAGACCTTGGAAGAAACTACTTCAGGAAAAGCTTAAAGCAGACATCTCACCAGGTCCTTGAACTCCCTTTGGACCTGTGGAGAGGGATGAAGAAAGGGCAACTTCTTGCCCTAGCTGGTTTGGCTCGGTGGATAGAGCGTCAGCCTGCAGACCGAAGGGTTCCAGGTTTGATTCCGGTCAAGGGCACATGCCTGGGTTGTGGGCTTGGTCCAACCTGCAGGAGGCAGCCAATCAATGATTCCCTCTCATCATTGATGTTTCTATCTCTCTTCCTCTCCCGCCCTCTCTGAAATCAATAAAAATATTTTTTTAAAAAAGAAAAAAAAGAAAGGGCAACTTCTCCAAGCAGAGGGACTTTGATCACCTCCACTCAATGCCTGTAACTGACCAATCATTGTACCTCTGGGAAGAGAAGGGAATGGGGAGAGAAGCCAGGAAAATTGAGGAAAAGCCAGAAAACTAGAGGCTAAGGAAGAGGCATTTCCCCTGTCACATAGGAAGGTCCTGCTATTCATTCAGCCAATCTGCTATTGTACATTCGCTTTGTTTACAAACAATAGAAATTAAATATCTTTGTAATTCATCATTGTGTACATTTTTTGGTGATTTTTTAAAGATAAAATCCTAGAAGTGGAATTTCTGGGTCAAATAGTATACAGTGAGGCCTTGACTTACGAGTGTCCCGACTAACGAGTTTTTCGAGATACAAGCCGTCTCTCGGCCAATTTTTTGCTTTGAGTTGCGAGCTAAAATTCGGGTTACAAGCCAGCTTCAGATACCCCACTGCTAGTTGGCACAGCGAACGTCACAGTGAACGCCACAACATCAGCCCAGCATCACGTGTCTCACTCGTTCACTTTAAGATTTGACATAAGAGTAATTTGAGTTATGAGCTCCGTCACGGAACAAATTAAACTCATAAGTCAAGGCCCCACTGTATCATGTTTAAAGCTTTTGATGCATGTGACCACATTTCCATCCAGAACTTTTGTATCAATGTAATATACAAAGCTTGTATCTCATAGTATATGAAAACATATTTCCTTAACAGGCACCCTCTCTGGATTGTTGATCTTGGTCCTTGTAAATTTGATGGGCAATATCCCTGTACTTCAGTGTTATTTCAATTTTGAGCAATCTTAATGTAGTTTTCCTGGAAGACAAAAGGGTAAGAAGTGTGAGCAATTGTGCTTGAAGAGACTGAGTGAAAAGAAGAAATGGTGGTAGAGTAAGTGGATGTGACACACAGACTTGCAGGATCAAACTGGAATTACAACTAAAATACAAAAAAAAAGATTGTGAATAATAAACTGAAGACTAACTGAAGAGAACCCTGATAACCAAGTACAGAAAGTGGAGACCGCACAGAGACTGGTAGGAAGGCCGGAGAAATGAAAGGGCTGGCCGAGCTCTGACAGACAGCAGCTGAAGTTCCTGAGAGATATCTCAACCAGGGGGGCCTATACCCCAAGCTGCCCACCCCCCAGCAGAGAGCACCAGAACTAAGAAAGGTACCCACATAACATGTGGTTGTGAAAAGCAGCAGTGTTACACTGTCTGCCAAGGAGAGACAGCTGATAATGCAGGCACTCTCTTAAAGGACCAACACACAAAATTTCATGTGCAGCCACTCACCTTGGGCTCCAGCAGAGGGAGGGCAGATTGGACTGGAGGTGTGAGCAGAAGATAGAGTTGGGGGCTCTGGGGTTAGACCTCGGAAGACAGACACTCGGGTTTCCTATGTTGAGTCATTCCCTCATGCTGTGGAAGACATCTTTCTCAGAAAGACCTTGTCTATACAGGCAGTTTTTGTCTGGGGATAAGACAGTAGCCCCACCCTATTGGAAACCCCCTTGCCCCATGCTGTGGAGTTTCTGAGGCCCATTAAGAGACTTAGAATAACAATTAGCCTCCAGACAGAAGCAATTTCCCCACCCTGTTGGGAAAACCT